CCCCTAATTCAGACCGACTGCCCTCTATAGTCAGTCTGGGCCTCTCAGCTGCCCTGCAGGACCCCTGACTGTCTCCCCTGGATTCTCCCGGGATATGGAAGTGTTCTCCAGGAGCCTCCCCCGCCCTCCAGGGCTTCCCTCCGCGTAGTGCTAACTGCCCCGATGCAGCTGCTGCCGGGCACCTCAGTACCATTCCCACCCTATGGGAATCAGGAAATAAAGAAACACATCCATAAGGCGCTCGAGGGAGCCCTTTCTGGGATCCCTTCATGATCCTGGGGGCGCGACGGTTCTGGGGACCCCGCAGTCCTCCCCCACCCACCGAGATCCTTCGTGACGCGGCCCCGTGGGGACATCCCGGGGCCCACTGGAGTCCCGGAGCCCTCGCCAAGGTGGGGGTGCCCGCGGGAGGAGTCTCCTTGTTCATACCCTTGTTCTCCTTGCCCACCTTGTTCATGAACACCTCCGGGTCGAAGTGGGGCCCGTTGATGTCGGTGGGGTCCGGGGGCGCCTCGGCCGCCTCGGCAGTGGACGGGCCATAGTAGCGCTGGAGCGGCCCGTGGGGACGCCGCCACCCGCCGCCCCCGGTGCTCCCGCCGGTGGCCTCGGGGCTGCCTGCGGCCCCGCTCCCGGCCCCGCTCCCCGTTGTCACCGCCGCCATCGCGCCGCCGCTTCCGCCTCGGCAGCCACTTCCGGTCCGTCCATTACGTCACTTCCGATGATACGCCAGGTTGCCATGGAGACGGGGAAGCGGAGCCGGACATGGCGGGGCCCAGATCCCGGGGCCTGGGGCGGCTGCCACGGGGACGGGGCCGGCGCGGCCCGTGTCATGCTGCCCCACGGGGACAAGAACTCTCACGAGGACGCAGAGATGGGTGGAGACACCGACCCTTGTGGGGCGAGCGGCCGCTGGCACACTTAACCTGGGCCCATGTCTCTCACTGTCCCTTTTCACCACTCTCCACCTGTCCGCAGGCCTCCCCAGTGTCCCGTGAGTCCCCAGTGCCTCCTCGTGCTCCTCTCCTCCTCACACCGGGGGCGGTCCTGGAGACCCCCACCCCACCCGAGGGTCCCGCTCCAGCCGAGGCTGGAATTGGGCTGTGAAGCTGCAGGTACAACCAGGTGATCGACCTTGCACCTCGCTCAAGGAACAAACATCTGGGCTAAAATGTCTAAAATCAGCTTTATTTACAGCAGGAAAGGCAAAACAAACCCTGCCACGGTGAGGGCCAGGCTGCTCCAGGGGCCTTTCGTCGGGAATCACCTGCTCCAGGAATCACAGGCCATTGATTCTTCCCTAAGGAAACAGCCCAGAGCTGCCACGTTGCACCAGGAAATCAGGAAGAACCAGAGGAAGCTCCTGCTGCCTCTTTTGTCCTTGCCTTTCCTGCACGTTTTTTTTCCCAAATGTGGAAAAGAGCACGCCTAATCCAGCCAGGGTGTGTTTTGTGAGCAGTTTGGTACATAGGACAACATTCCCTTCATACCTGTGGGCCCGAGTTAGCCCAAGGGCAAAGGAATTCCCCCTGGGAACAGGGAGAAAGCAAAGGAACACCCAGCCATACCTCCATGAAGAGGGTTTGCTGGAGAGCCTAAATCAGAGGAGGAGGAATGGCTGAGCCCTGCCTGTTACAGGAAGAGAAGCAAATAAGCAAACACACCCCTCAAGGTAAGGCAGGGGTTCCTTTTGTACTTTCTAAATGCATAAACAAATCAGCAAATCCCTCCTTGGATCCCCCCACTCCCAAGAGCACTGTGTGGGGAATTCCACCTCACTTTATTGGCACTACATCTCCCCAAAGTGCTCTAAAACCAGGATGCCACAGTAACCACAGTTAACTGGACCTTCGGCCACTGGTATTCTTTACCCTGATTTAGTAACTTAATTTGCATATGTGTGGGAAGGTTCTGGAAGGTTCCACACAAGTGCAAATCCATGTGTTTATGGACTGTGGCCCTCCCTTCCCAGAGGGTCCAGCCTGGTTTGCCCACAAGGATGATAAAGATAACCAAGACAGGATTTAATCAAAGTTCTGCTCCTCTGCATCTCTTCTCTGCTACAATGTAAGAGTATCCAGGCCCAGATCCATTGCTAATTCCACCCGAATTAGCAATGCACAGGTTTCTTTCACAGGCTTCCTTTCAGCCCAGGGATGTGGTCTGCAAGTCCCAGGGAAATGGAGAGTGGCCACACGGAATGTAAATCACACATTGGTACTCCCAAATCCCCTAAGTCAGCATCCTAAATCCTACAGCTCGCAAAGCTCAGCTGGGTTATGGAGTATCCACAAGTCCCTGGATTTGTTAGTTCCTGGTTTTCATTGAGGGAGGTCACGTGGAAGTGGCCCTTAGAAACACCCCACAGGATGTGGACAAGGCAGGAGGTCATGGCTCTGGCCATGACCCCAAAATCCCAATAGACATGAAGATCCCTTTGGAACCAAACTTGTTTTGGAAGAGCTGTCTGGGCCCAGCCGGAGCGCCGACGAGCGGGAAGGAGGAAAAGTCACTGGGAAGGTGGAGATGTGGCTGGAGGCTCCTCTGGAAAACGTGTGGCCAGGTCTGTGGATGGTGGGGTCTGGCTGTGCCACCTGCCAGCCCGGGCTCAGGTCCCCGCCCGGGACACCAGGTAGTAGAGGATGAAGAAGATGAGGACGAGCGCCGCGGACACGGCGAGGAGCAGCCGGCGGTTGTCGCGGCTGGAGCGCGCCATACCGGAGAAGCGCTTCACGCTGCCCGTCAGCAGCCCTGTCACGCTCAGGAAATCCGAGTCCTGGCAGGAAAAGACACCTTGGAGGCATTGCAGGATCATAGAACTTCCCAAGCTGCAGGGACTCACAAGGATGAGCCAGTCCAGCTCCGAGCCCTGCACAGGACACCCCAACAATCCCGGTGCTGATTTAGGGCTTCTCCCTTAAGGGCTTTTGCCGTTCCACCTCTCATCCCAATTCCCTGATTTGCACAGAAAGTCCCGTGTCCCGTTTGCCAGGTCCTTACCATGCCATCCAGGTAGCGGTTCTGTTCCTCAACATCCTTGTCAATATCCAGAGCCAGCTGCAGGGCAAGGCAGGAAATGGGCATTAATGAGCTTTTAATGTCCAGAGAATCTCTAAAATCTGAAATGCAAATTATTAAAACAAGCTGCTGCTTTCCCAGCTCCAACAGACACACAGGGGCTTGTTTGGTGCAGGAACAAGGAAAATGGCATTTCCCTGTCAGGTGAACTTTTCCACCTCTGAAAATAAAGCCTGGCTGTCTAAATCTGCCAGCTAGAGAGGGGAGTTTAAACCCTGGGACACAATGGCAGGAATTCAGCCTGCCCTTTTACACAGCGAGTCATCGACTTCTTTCATGGTTTGTACTACACTTTTAATAATAATTTAGAGCTTAAAGCTCTTAATCAAAGTGTTTGATGTTAATAGCAGCAAACCAGCATTAAGCACAGTTACACAGAGACACAGGTATTTTCCAAAATTAATCTGCCTGCCTTTTTTCTATTAATTTTTCCCCAAGGAGGTGAGCTTAGCAACACTCCTGTGTTCAGGTTGGACAGGGCTTGGAGCAACCTGGTCTAGTGGAAAGTGTTCCTGTCCATGGGAAGGGGTGGGACTGGATGAGCCTTAAGGTCCTGCCCAGCCCAAACCTTTCCATGGTTCTGTGATCCCCTGCAGGACCCCCAGGTAATCAGAGCCTGTCCTTCACCTCAGCACCTGCTGTGACCTCGGCACTCACCGACTTCAGCCTGGTGACCTTGCTGGCCAGGCTGTCGGCCATCCGCTTGTTCTCCACGTCCAGCAGGTCCTCCATGGCGCTCGGGCTCTGCCCTGGGGAGAAGAATGAGGAGCACACATCATCCCTGCCCTGCCACAGCACAGCTCTGTTCCCACCACAGCTCCGTGGAACCTTCCGAAAATGTGACCAAAACACCACAGACTTCCCCCAAACAGGCCAGGGCGACAACCCAGACTTCAGGGTATCTGAAGTGCCACCCCAGCCCAGCAGCTGCTGCGGGGGTTCCATGGCCAGTGACATCCAGGGGTGAGATTTGGGTGAAACCCGGGGCCCTTTGCCCCTTGCCCGTGCTGGGGTCTCTCGGCATTGCCCCCATTGTGGGGCAGATTGGGGCTGGGGGGGATTAGGAGTTCTGGGGCAATTAGGGGCTATGGGGGCAGCTGGGGGCTCAAAGGGGTACTTAGGGTTTATGGGGGGCGCTTAGGGGTTCAAGGGGACAATTAATGGATAGAGGGGGCAATTAGGGATTGGGGGGGGGGGCAGCCCAGGACCCCAAAAAGGGCTCAGATAGGCAATTAGGGCGTATGGGGGGGGGGGGGTCCCGGGCTATAGGGGAGAAATCGGGGTACTGCAAAACGCCCCGTGGGGTTCAGTGGGATCGGGAGTTCCTCCTCCTCCCTCCGAGCCGCTCCAGCCCCTTCTGCCCCCCAAACCCGTCCCTGTCGCTGTCCCTTGTCCCCTCACCTCGGCCCCGCTCCGCCATGGCTGCCCCGGCCCGTCCCGCCCCGCCGGGCGGAGCCGCCACGAAATGTCCGCCCGCTCTTCCTCCTCCTCCTCCTCCTCCTTCCCCCCGGCGCCGGGACCCTCGGGCCGCTCGCCCGGGCCGGGGTGGAAGGGCTGGAATTCCCTCCCGAGGGATCCCGGGCCGCAGGTACGGCCGGCGCCCTGCCCGGGCACAGGGACGGGACAGGGGCTGGGGGAGAAAACAGCGCCTTGCGGGCAGAAAACGGGGGGTTGGGGACAAATACAGGGCTTCGGGGACAAGAATAGGGGTCTGGGCACAAAAAGAAGTTTTGGGGAAATAATCAGGGGTTTTGGGGGTGGGGAAATAGAGGTTTAGGGGGAAAATAGGAGCTTGGGATAAAAATAGAGGTTTGGGGGGAAAATAGGGGCTTGGGACAAAAATAGAGGTTTGTGGGGAAGGTAGGGGTTTAGGGATATAAACGGGGTTACGGGAACAAAAAAAAGGGGGTTTGGAATTTACTGAAATGGTGGGGGAAGAGGTGGCAGTAGGAGTATGGAAATGGGGATATGCCCAATGATCCACTGGTTAATGTCATCCCTCCAAAAGCAGAGGTGGATCCCCTCCATCCCAGCCCCTGCACATGGGGATGCTGTGTCTCTGCCCCGGGCCAGCCCAGCCTCCTGTCTCCGCAGCTTTCCGCCTTCCAAAATGCAGGATCTGCCTCTTTTGGTCCCCACAAAAGTCCCCTCTGGGGCTGCGTGGGCAGGAGGGGACAGCCCGTGTGATTCCCAAACCCCGGGGGCCCTGTGCCTGCGATCCCGGTTTGTTGAGGTTGGTGTGACCAGCTCAGCCTCATCCTCATGGCAACACGGAAACCGAACACATGTCCGAGCTCAAATCTGCTGGATTTCCCCCCACTGCCAATCATGTCCCAGCGCCCTGAGGTTCGCGTGGCTCCGTGAGCCGCTAAACCGGTGCCGTGTCCAAAATAATCCCGCGGTGTTGCGCATCTGCTGGCTGGCACTGTCGGCAGGGACATCCTCTCCCGGGGGTGACCGGCTCCGGACGCGCCTTTTGGCTGCGCCTGCAGGGATCGGCCATGATCCAGCCCGCCACCAAACCCTCCTGCTCTGCTTCCCACCGCCTGCAGCCGGAGGATGCTCTCCCGCCTGGCTGCCTCGCCGCTCCGTCCCTTGGCACTCCGCGGCAGTGCTTCGTGCTTTATTTGTTATTTTTCCCCCGTGCGGCAGCAGAAATCAGGGCAGGCGGGGAGGAGGAGGAGGAGGAGGAGGCAGCAGGGAGCTATTTCAGGGAGCTGCTGTTATCTGCTCCACGTTAATCTCCAGCTGGTGGGGGGAAGGTTTCCCCTGAGTGCTTTCCTGGGAGGGTATATATTAAACATTGAAAAGCAAAGCGAGGAAGAAGAGGATTAGCAGGAGAGAGAGAGGAAGCTGGCTGCTGGCTTTGCTCGGGTTATCCATCTGCTCCACTTTTATGGATGCAGCAGTGTGAACAATATCACTTGGGATTTTTTTGTGTTGTGTTTTTTCCCTCCTTGCTCTCTCCACCCCTTTCTCTCTTCCCTCTCAGAGGTCTGTGTGCCGAGCTGCTTTTCCATCACCCTGGAACTCCCCTTGCTCCTCTTCCTCTGGGCTGTGCCATAGCTGAGCTGTTGGGATAATGGAGCTCCAGGCTGTGGTATCCACGCTGGAAAATGGGGAGCAGGACACGGTTCTCAAGGTGCTCCAGGTCTACAACCAAGAGGTGAGTGAGTATCAACGCTTCCCTCATCTCAGGAACTCCTAAAAAAATTATTATCCAGATCCCAAGTAAAGCCTGGCCTGGAAATAAGAGTTAGGGTGAGGACTGAGTAGGAGGAGCTTTTATGTTAAGGCAGTTTTGGAGGTGCTGAGAGAATCCAGGGAGGGGCTGCAGGTGAAACGAGGTTGGGATTTGCAAGTCAAAAGATGATGATTGGAGGTGACTGCTGGGCGTATGGGCAGGGCTCTGAAAGCAGTAAATAATGAATGTAGAATATCAAACCCCAACGATCTGGAAGCAGCGATGGGAGCGTTTCTCGCCTTAAAGTAGGAAAAGATTATCTGTGGTGGTAACTCTCTGCTCGGAGAAAGGAGACTGAGGGGAGACCTCATCTGTTTACAGCTTCCTCCTGAGGGGTGGTGGAGGGGCAGCTCCAGTGTCTGCTCTCTGACCAGTGACAGGACCCAAGGGAGCAGCTGGAGAGGTTTAGGTTATATATTAGGAAAAGGTTCTTCCCCCAGAGAGTGGTTGGGCACTGAACAGGCTCCCCAGGGAATGGGCACAGCCCCAAGGCTGCAAGAGCTCCAGGAGCGTTGGGACAGCGCTCTCAGACACAGGGTGGGATTGTTGTGCTGTCTGGGCAGAGCCAGGAGCTGGACTGAATGGATCGTGTGGGTTCCTTACAGCTCGGGATATTCTGTGGCTCTGTGAAATCCTGTTTTAAACAGACTCTAGTTGTCAGAGAAACTCGGAGGTTTCCCCTGAGAGGGGCTGGCCCTGTGGATCACTCTGACTCACTCTGCACCAGGCTGGAGTAGGTGGAAGCCAGCAGGGAAAACCTGAGGAATATTTTGCAAGAGTGTGTGTGAGAGAGAGAGTGTGTGGAGCTATTCCTAACAGTCAGATTTGGAATGGGGAGATATTGGCCAAGAAGGAGCAGGTGTCTGTTAAGGACAGCACTAAGGATTAACAGCACCAGCAGCAGGTGCAAACAGTGTCTGTGTGCCCCCAAACCATGATATTTCCTGTTGGAGCCCCCCAGCTGGGTCCTTCCTGGGGTATTGAGCCTAGGGAACTGCAGCAACAGGGTTTGCTGGCCTGTCTGGAGGAAATGGAGCAGTCAAAGAGGATTATGAATCTGCAGATAAACCTGGCATGGCATGGCCTGGCATTGCTTCTGCTGCAAGACTAATGGTTCTGTATGCCTTTCTTGTGGATTTGTTTTAATTCACTGTTGTGCACACAGTTTTTGCTTGCTGGGAATATGCTACAGCTAAAGCAAAACCCCAGGTGTGGCCAAAATATCCCCAAATGGGATTACAGCCTGAAAAGAGGATGTGCTGAGGGAAGAACAAGCAGCCTGCTTGTGGAACACAGCAGTGGCAGGACTGGGCCATCAGCTCCTGGTAGTGTGGATGGATCAGCTCATGGAGCTCACACTCATCCTGGCTGGAGTACACCTGTCCTGCCCCCATACCTGGGCTGCTTCAGGCACTGTGTCCATTGCTGCTTCCAGGCTGGACAGAGCCAGTACTATCCCTGGGCTCTTGGTGACTGCACACACATAATCAATGTTTTATGGATTTTAAACATTTTTGTTCTCCAAGCTGGGATCAAACGCTCTCTTGGTGTGAGCAAGGATTGCCTCAATCACTGGGAGGTGCTGCTTCTCCTCAGAAACCTGTGATCTCCAGTTCCATGGGAGCAGGTTTGGTCAGGAAGGAGACTGTCAGTGAAGAACAAACAAAATAGCAAGAGAAACGCAATGAATGGAGATCAGGGGTGTTTGTTAGCATGGCGACAGGATGGAGTGTGGAGATCGAGTCCTTTGTGTTTAAAGAATGACCTGGATAACCACGAGGATCCATTCCCATGTACCACGGAGACAAGACTTCTTTTGGTCAGGAAAAGGAATAATAAATATCAAGGGGAGACATGTAGGCACAGCTCAGTGGTATCACTGAGCACGGGAATTACCGGCTCTTATAGGATATTGGGATTGGGATGAATAGCCACTGTGCTGCTGCAGTATTTAAACTAAATCCATCTGTCAGCTGGCCTGTGGCATTCCACTGGTGCTGTGGAGCCAGGGGTGATGCCCATGATGCGGGGGGGACTGTCAGGAGATGGTGTATTTGCTGTTGCAGCATGTTTTGGACCCGCTGCTTTCCAGCTGAATGGCTCTGCTCTGGTCCCATGGAGTTTTAACCTATTCCTCTTTCTGATTGATTTTGTTTTCCCCATAGAAATCTCAGTGCTTCATCTTCGAGGATGAGGAGCGGGAAGAAAGGAAGGTAGGCACGTGCTGATTGCTGTCCTCCTTTGGTCAGTGTGTAAATCTGCTGCTCTGTACTCATGTCCAGCTGGGCTTGGCAAGCAGCTCCCACAGGAGAAGAACTGAAAGTTTTCCATTAACCTGGTTGGGGAATTATGTGCTTGGACTGTCTGGCTCTGTTTTCTCCATCAGTATTTGGTGATTTTGGATAAAGATTGGCATCCATCTGACACTAGCAATGGTTCCATGATCCATATAGTCCCAGTCATGGATGTGATCTCTGATGCCTCTGGACAGGAATCACAGCAGTGCTGGCTCCGGGGGAAGGTGAGGGGCTCTGCTGGGAGCCAGCAGTGGGATTTGCCAGGAGCTGTGTATTAGCAAATCCTTTGAGCTGGTGTAATCTGGCACTTGGAGGGAAGGAACACTCTGCCTGCTCATTCCTGCTCCTGCCTGGCTGTTCTGCCATAAGAATGACTGTTTTCCCTGGGTTATTTTCCAGCTGGCTCAGTTCTGGGGTCAGTTCACTGGTGGGTGGTGCCAATGTCTGTGTTAGTGCAGCAAGTGCAGGCCAGGTGACCCGGGTGGAGAGTTAGACCTCCTTTGGCTGTGCCAGGGCCAGCTGCTGCCACATGGAGCGTTCCAGGCACAGCCTGAAACGTGGGACTGGATCTGATGAGATCTGAGCTCTTTGCCTTGCACTGACCCAGTGTGTGAGCTGGCACAGTCACACAGGACATGGCTTCAGGCAGTGTCCCAATTTTGGGATGTATGCCATGAAATATGAGATGAACAGCACCACTAGTTCCTGGTGCTTGAGTTTACAGATGGTTCAGCTTCAGGCACACACCCTGAGATCTCTTTCCCCTGAACCAGCCTGAGGCTTTGGTTGCTGGGACTGTATCTGAAACTCTGTTTCCCTGTGAGGCAGGAGAAGAGGAACAGCTGTACTTCATCATTTCCCCAGGATGTGATTTTGGAACACACCACAAGCCTCACGTTAAGGACTGAAGTTCAGTTTTTCTTCATTCCTTCCCTCAGTAGTTTCATTTCACCAGGGAAGAGTGAGGTTGACTATCAGGAGGAATTTCTTCGTGGAAAGGGTGGAAGGCATTGGAAGGGAGGTGGTGTAGCCATCATCCATCTCTGGTGGTATTCAAGAAATGACTGTTCCATGCTCTGGTCTGGTTGTGAAGGTGCTGATTGGTTACAAGTTGGACTTGATGGTCTTGGAGGTCTTTTCCAAGCCGGATGATTATGATTAATGACTAATGATTATGATTAATGATTCCAACCTTAATGGTTCTCTGATTATTTTGAAGTGTAACCAATGAGGTGTTAAGCCAGTTACAAACCTCTTCTTTCACTCTTGTAACATCACAGAAAGACCCGTGCTCTGAGCTGTGTTGTGTTTGAGGTCTGGTGGGCTCCCCCAGCAGTGTGTGTGGGTTACTGGTGTGATGAGAAGTGTTGCCACACGTGGTTCAGCCTGAGCTGCCTGTGTCTCTGAGGCCTTGCCTGTGCTCTCGTGCTGCTCTGTGATTCACCGTTCCCCGTGAGCTTTGCAGCTCCCATGAATTGTGTTAGTGGGGCTCTGCCAGTCTGTACCCATGGAAGATCTGGGCCAGTAGGTCTCCAGACAGCACTGAAATTAAGGAGATGCTGCTTATTTCAATCTCCTGAGGTCTCTTCACCTCTTTTCCCAAGGCATCAGGTGCTCTCCTCACCTCCCTCGGGTCCTGTGTCCCTCCCTTGTGCAGTGGGCAGGTCGGCCCTGTCAGCCTGAACCATCCTCACCAGGGCAGAGCTATAACAGTGACCTGTTTGTGCTCTCCCTTTGCACCCAACACCCTCTACAAGACATTTTTTTCCTGGTTGTTCTTGCCCAGACTGGTCAGGATCAATGCCAGAGCCAGGCACTTCCTGAGTGCCGCCGAGTGTGCACTTGAGCAGGCCCAGGTGACACGGCTGTTGTCCAGGGCAGAGCATGCCAGGGCCCTAGGGAGCCCTGGGAAGTGTTGGTATCCAAGGCATTGCTTGTTTCCATCTGCACAGAAAATGGCCCAGCTGCTGATCAAGTTCTTGGAGAGGGAGCTGCAGCCATCCTGCCAGGTCACCTGCCTGGAGAGCATCCGCATCCTGTCCCGGGACAAGCACTGCCTCGACCCTTTCACCACCAAGGAAAGCCTGAAGACACTCTCCAGGCATGCTGGCATCGATTGCTCTGAGGAGCTGATCCGGGAGGTCCCAGACTTGGATGTAATCCTGGAATCCCTGAAATGCCTGTGCAACATTGTGTTCAGCAGCGCCATGGCGCAGGAGCTGACGGCGGAGGGGCGGCTGGTGGTGGGGCTGGCCCGGCGCATCAAGCTCTACAACGAGCGGAGTCTTCCTCACGACATCAAGTTCTTCGACCTGCGCCTGCTGTTCCTGCTGACGGCCCTCAGGGTGGACATCCGGCAGCAGCTCGCCCAGGAGCTCCGGGGAATCAGCCTCATGACAGACACCCTGGAGCTGACCCTCGGGGTCAAGTGGTTGGACCCCTACGAAGTTGCCACAGAGGAGGGACTTCTCCCACCTTTGCCTCGGCAGGAGACGGAGCGAGCCATGGAGATCCTCAAAGTGCTCTTCAACATCACCTTTGATTCCAGCAAGAGGGAGGTGGACGAGGTGAGCTCCTTGGGCCCATGGCATCCATGTGTCTCTGGGCTCTGGCTTTTCAGGTTTTCTCCTCCCTCGCATTTTCTCATGTCCCAGATTGGTCTTTATGCACCCTCAGGGTGGTGAGGGACTCGGGTGTCCTTAGGGTACTGCCTCTGTCCAGTACAGTATTATCTCTTACTTTGCCTGTGCTTTTAGCATTTCCAAATGGAGAATTGAGAGTCTGCTTTCCATGATCAGGCTGCAGGAGGGGGGCATGGGCTGCAGGCTCTGGGATGTATGGGATCCCTTTTGCTGATCGAGGTGTTCCTTTCTCCATGCTGGGGCCAGGAAGATGCTGCTTTGTACAGGCACTTGGGTGCCCTCCTGCGCCACTGCCTCATGATCTCAGCCGACGGCGAGGACCGCACCGAGGAGTTCCACAGGTCTGTGTTGGGAGGAGCTTCACCTGGAGCTTTGCCAGCTCCCCCAGGCACATCCAGTGGGACCTTGGGCAACTGGGAGGGACCTTGCTGACCAGCAGCTTTTGGGTTTAGCCTGGGGATCCCTCACGCTGCTGGAGCTCAGAAACAGCCTTTCCTGCCCTGGGAATGCCATATGGGAGTGCCATGGCCTCCTGACCTCTGAGATCTTCCATGTTCTGTGTCAGGCTGTCCCAATGGTGACATCCACCTCAGTGGGCAACTGGCCAAGGAAGAAGTGTACTGCTTTAAAACGTCCATGAGATGGCCTTAATTAGTCTTAAGCCATGCTGAGAAATCGGCTGTGTCATGTTGCCAAGCATTAGTGGTGCAGGGGTTTCACCTTGGAGCAGGTGACACCACTTTGTCCCCAAGAATACATAGTTGGGGGGATCCCAGGCAGTGCTGGCGTGGAACATCAGGATTAAGAATTACACAGGAGACTCCAGAGACAGACCTTGGACCACCCAGATTGGTCCTGCTTGGCTCTGTGTCAAGATCTGTGGGTTCTCAGATATCACTAAAGTATCTTTGGAGTCTCAGCATATAGTTAGCTGCCCAAAAAGCATCTTAAGTTATCCCCTTTCAGTGGTTTGAGGAGCTTGAGATGCTCCAGGAAAACTTGGATTGCCAGGTCCTCACACTCCTGCGAGTTAATGACGGGCCTTCATTTCTGCAGACCTGAAGGACTTCTGTGAGCAAAGCTCCATCACTGTGTGTTCACTTCTCTTCTCTTTCACACGTGCAGCCACACAGTCAACCTGCTGGGCAACCTGCCCCTGAAGTGTCTGGATGTGCTTCTGACTCCTAAAGTGCGTCCAGGCTCGCTGGAGTACATGGGTGTCAACATGGATGCGGTCAGCATCCTCCTGGACTTCCTGGAGCGGCGCCTGGACAGGGTGGGTGATGGGCCTGCTTCTTCCCACGGGTCCAGGGCACCTTTCCCTCAGCCTGGAAGAGCCTGGTGGGAGCAGCACACTTGGTTTGAAGTTAGCCCTTTGTGGGAGGGACAGCTTTTAGCAGAGCTGTGGTTGGTGGGACTAAACCAACATCCCTGAACTGGGAAGGTGACTGCCATTGCTTTGAGGGCTGCAGACAGTGAGCTTGGTGGAACAGTGGATGATTAGCTGATAATTAACAGGGTGATTGACAAATCAGCCCTGTTTCACTCAGCAGTGATCCAGCAGGCAGTTCTGGAAACCCGAGTTCCTGTTATTTTTAAGCTGACTACAGTTTTCAGCCTCTGGAGTTGTTTCAAAGGGCCTCCAAATCTTAACACTGCACTTCTCTGCCCTGGATGCCCTGCCCAAATATTTCTATATTTCTGGCACTGCCTGTGCCACAGCAAGTGGTGTGGGGAGGAAGGAGGCATTGAATGCCTGTGGCAGAGGCTGGGAAGCTCCATGTCCCTCCATCTCCCTGATGATCTGTGCTCGTGTTCTCCAGCATGAGCCAGACAAGCTGAGCTCAGCGTGACTGACGTGCTGCTCCTTCTGGGGATGTTTCTGCAGGGCCACAAGCTGAAGGAGAGCTTGACCCCTGTGCTGAACCTGCTGACGGAGAGTGCCCGAGTCCACCGGCAGACCAGGAAGTTCCTGAAGGCCAGGGTATGCTGTGCTCAGCGCCACCCCTGTGTTCAGGGGTGCTGCCCTGAGGGGAGGCGAGCAGAGCCCTGCTTGTGGCCACCCTCCAGACACCTCTGCTGTGGGTGGCTTTGGGACCCACAGTGTTCTGTCACCCTCGCTGTGGCCCTGCAGGTGCTGCCGCCTCTGCGGGACGTGCGGAACCGGCCAGAGGTGGGGAATTCCCTGCGGAACAAGCTGGTGAGGCTCATGACGCACATCGACACCGATGTCAAGCACTGCGCCGCCGAGTTCCTCTTCGTGCTCTGCAAGGAGAGCGGTGAGTCCTGGGGGGCTTCCACAGAGAGACCCTGAGACTGGGACTCTCTTCGGGGCTTCTGCCTTCCCTCGGGACAGCCCTGCTGAGTGGGGAAAAGGGAAGAGCTCCAGGAGCTCTGGGAAGGAGATGGTGTCTCTCAGGCCAGCGGTGAGGGATGAGCTGTGCTGGAGGACACCCCAGCACCCTGCACACAGCCTGGCCCACGTTCAGCTCCCACGCATGGGCCTTACTCCCTGTCAGCACCTCCGTGTCTCTGTGGCCTGGAGACATGGCAAAACCATGCTGCTGGGGCTGGTGGGAGCATGGGGCTAGAGGCAGGAGGGGAGCACAGGATGGTCTCTGTCCCTTCTCCTGGCAGTGTCCCGGTTTGTGAAGTACACGGGCTACGGGAATGCCGCGGGGCTGCTGGCGGCACGGGGCCTCATGGCCGGCGGCCGGGAAGAGGGGGAGTACTCGGAGGATGAAGACACAGACACGGAGGAGTACAAAGAGGCAAAGCCCAAGTAAAGAGATCCACTCCCCTCTAGAAATTGCCTTCTCCCATTCCTGATCCTTCTTCATCCCTCTTCATGTACCTGCTGCCATCTTCCTGTTCTGCTTTCCCACCTGCAGCAGGGGTGGAAGCGCCTGTTTTTCCTACCCCTCTCAGTGTTGCTACACCCAGCTGGTTTTTGGTTCCTCTTTTTTGCTTCCATATCTTTGTTTTTCCCTTCCCTCTCATTTTTTTCCCCTTTCTCCTTTCCTCTGCAGTGGGTGGTATCTTGAGGGTGGGGGTTCCAGGCCCGTGCCCACCGATGCATCCCCCACACACTGTTCAGTGTCCCTGCAGGTTGGGTTTGTTGGGATTTTCTCCATTAGCTTTTGTCTCCTGCCTTGAGGAGAGGGAGGAAATGTCACCTGCCCTCACGTAGCTCATTTCCAGTGCCACTGTGGCATTGGTAGGAGGGGATGTTAGAGAAAAGGGAGGTGTTTTTATGGATGTATGTCAGAATCCCTAGTAGCACTGTGATGGCACTTGGGGCTTAGGGCACGAGCAGCAGTGACAGCCAGTGCTGCTATGGCATTCCTCTGCTCCATGAGGCTCAGAAGGATTCCAAACAGCCTTTTGTCACCTGCTGTCCCCACCCTGAGCCCTGGCCTCACTGCTCTCTGTGCAGCATCAACCCTGTGACGGGACGCGTGGAGGAGAAGCTGCCCAACCCCATGGAAGGGATGACGGAGGAGCAGAAGGAGCATGAAGCCATGAAATTGGTCAACATGTTTGACAAGTTGTCCAGGTACTGGGATATGGTGTGTGTCAGGGTTACATCTGTCACAAACCTTCCTTTGGCTGTGTTCCCAAGGCCTGGAGGGATCTGGGAGTGGGAGTGGCAGGGCAATTCTTCCCTCAGCATGGCTCCATGACATGCACGGGAAGCACTGCCAGCTCCTCCAGCTTTGGCTGGGGAACTGTGGAATTCCTTGCTGTGCCTATGTTGTTCCCAAGCACCTGCAGCTTGCCAGCTTTGTCCTGGTGCTTGGGAAGGACAGCAGCCTCTGTCCTGGCAATGCAGCTAAGGGGGAGGCAGCATTCTGGGGACAGACAGCGGGGACAGATGGCAGCCAGTGCCACCAACCACTTTCTGTTGGAGTGCTTTCTCCAGTTATCTCTGACCCACAGGAGCCCAGCTGAGTTCAGGCTTTCAAGAGTAGGAGAGCAGTAAGTCCATCCTATGTTGGAGGGAAAGGAACATGGACACAAGTGTTAGTTTTCCTCTGGGAATCCTGAACCACACAGAAGAGGACTCTAGAAAGGAGCCTATTCCAGGGAATAGGATTGTGCTTCCAGGCCATTGCTTCGCCATGCTGGAAGTTTTAGGCCTGGGACCGCTCCCACTTCTCAGAAGGGATCTTTAGTGGTGTTCCAGGCCATTTCCACAAGTCCCGCTTTGCTGCCGTATTCCTGGTTTGTTCCCATGCTCTGCTGCAGCTCTGCCTTACCTTTCCCCTCTCCCTGGCTGCAGGGAGAAGGTGATCCAGCCCATGGGCATCACTCCAAGTGGCAACCTGGCACCCATGGAGAACGCCATTCGCAACATCGCCGACGAGTGCTCATCCTCTGACTCGGACCTGGGGCTGGACTGACCCAGCTCCCGCCCCAGCCACGGAGAGCCGGGCTCCAGCCGCTCTCCCTCGGAACTGGTGCTGCACCCAGGGGCTGGCACTGCGCCAGGAACTCTCTCTGTGGGATCTGGATCCAGCCTGGACCCCTCACAGCCCACCACATGGAACACCTGCCTCCTTCCCAGCTCCATAGCCACCTCTCCTTCCAGAGGTCTCCGTGACCTGGCTCCACCTCGGTCTCTCCTGTCAGCAGCCTTGAGGATTTCACACTCCAAATTGCTTCCAGGACTCTCCAGTAGGATTTTTGGTTTTTAAATATGTGCTGTTTGGGAAGAAGGGTCAGGGGGAGGCTCTTCCTGCCACTGTGTTAGGGTTCAGTGATCCTTGGGGGCTCCCATGTGCACGTGGCTGTGCGTGTGCCCGGTCCCAGCGCGGGGGCTACTCCCCAGGAATGCTGTGGGAAGGGGGGCTGCCAGAGAGGGGTGTGGGTCTCCAGTGGGAGTGGGATCCGCAGGGCATGGTGCATGCGGCTGTATCCATGTCCATGCACACCCAGAATGTGTGGATGAACAGAGCAGAGCCGGGGAGGCCTTGGAAGCTTCCAGCATTCCATTGGCCGCAGGAGAGAGTGCGCGGGCAGCTGCCGGGAACGCTCCGATGTCCCTTCCCTGGCACCACCCAGCTGGGTTTGGGCACTCACCTCTCCCCACCTCCCACTTTCCAGACAAAAGGCCAATACCTGTGCTTTGTCCTTGGCTCATCCTTGCTGTCCCCAGGTCGCTGTGTCCCCCAGGGGCTGCTGTTGAGCCTGGTGTAGAATTGTCTTTATTTTTATTCCTGTTTTCTTTGGAAAGTAAATCTTCTCATCTGTCTCATGTATCTGAGTTCCCAAACCTCCCGTCATGAGTAGGAATGCACAAGTGACGCTAGAATAAAGCCAACCTGACACGTGGGAGTGTGGCAGTGATTCCTCCCAGCAAGGAAATCCCTGTGGCAGAGCATCCCAGGTGTTTCTGCCCATGTGTCCTTAGGAGCTGGGAGTGTTCCTAAACATGGTCTAGGAGGTGAAGAGCTGGAGGGAAGCCTTGCTTTGTTTTCCAGTTTCCACTGCTGAGGCCCCTTGAGTGCTGTGTCCAGCTCTGGGCCTCTCATGGCAAGGAGGATATGGAGGGGCTGAAGTGTGTCCAAGGGAGGGAACGGAGCTGGGGAAGGATCTGGAGCACAAGGAGCTGAAGGTGCTCAGTCTGGAGAAAAGGAGGCTCGAGGGGGACCTTCTGCCTCTCCACAACTCCCTGACAGGAGGGTGCAGATCCCAGGGAGCAAGGGATGGGACAAGAGGAAATGGCCTCAAGCTCTGCCAGGGGTGGTTCAGTAAGAATTTCCTCATGGAAAGCACCGTCCAGGGAGGTGGTGGAGTCCCTATCCCTGGAGGTGTCCAGGGAAGGCCTGGACGTGGCACTCAGTACTCTGGGCTGGTGACAAGGTTGGGATGAGTCACAGGCTGGACTCGATGATTTTGGAGGTCTTTCCCAACCTGGGTGATTCTGTTTAATTCCTGACTGACCCCCCAAGTGCCATTCCAGGCTGCTGGGCTGGGGATGGCCCTGCTGTATCAGTGTGAGCTTTTAGGCCAATTGCATTTTCTCTTTTTGAGCTAGCAAACCCCCCACCCCCTCCATCCCTTCTGTGTGCAGACACAGACCCTGATCCCTTCCCAGCTGTTGAAGCTTCCCAGGCTTTATGTACAGAAGGAAAAGGGGGGTTTGGTGTTTTTAATGCATCTGCTTCTGATATTGTTTCAATTTTCCAGAGTGCTTTAATCCCGAAGAACAGCTGCCAGGTCTGGCCTGGAATGCCCTAGAGCAGGGGCTGAACTTGGCACTGGGTGTTTTGGGAGGAGACGCTCATAGAATCATGGAGCTCTGTTTTGGGGGGCAGCAGGGGGGCATGGTTAAAAACTAAGTCCTCACCGTTTCCAGTGTGGATGTGCCACAAGGCTCTGCATTGTGTTGTGGCAGGTGGGGACAGAGCAGGACGTGGCTGCAGCCCTGTGACACTGCCACCCCCCAGAATGGTATCTACAGCAGGGAAAAGCACTTGTGTGAAGGGGAAAAAGCAGGGAAAAAGCAGGTGAAAAAAGCAGTGGTGGGGACAGAAGGTGTGACTTTAGAGAAAACCTCTCAAGTGACATCCAGAAACGAATTGTCTCTTTATTATTAAATAATTAACACTCCAGTGATTCAAAAATTCCCCAGCAGCTTGAACTGGAATGGGAATGGGGGGCAGCCCCCCCCCCCCACCCCTGGCTTGTCCCCTGATTAGCAGAGATTTTATGGAAGACAAAACAAAGCCTGCAGCAGCTGAGGATCATGGCCAAGGGAACAGTGGCTGGGGAGGAGCTGTGACAGGAACTGGATGCTCTGCCCGGTGGGAGCTGGAAAACACTCTCCAGTCTGTCCTGGCCTGATCTTCATGGCATTCCAGCTCCTGCTCCATGGAACCAGTGCCTCTGAGGGGCTCTGGGATGGATGGCTCAGAAGGAGGGAGATCCAAACAGGCACCTACGGACACCGAGCTCGTTGGATGTGCTGGCACGAGCCCCCAGGCCCTTGGACACTTGCTGGTGACACTCATGGCTGGACATCCTCAAGTGATGTGCTGAGCACCCTCCTACTTGTCCTTGGCATCCAGCTGGAAACAGAGACCCCAGTGCTTGCCAGGGAGCATCCAACATTCCAGCCCCCCAGCACCATCCCCACAGAATCCTGGAATCCCAGGATGGTTTGGCTTGGAAGGGAACTTAAAGCTCATCCATTCCCACTCCTGGCCATGGACAGGGACACTTTCCACTAGTCCAGGTTGCTCCAAGCAACTGGTTTTCCTCCATCACTGTTGCACCAGCATTATCCCTCAGGGATTCAGAGCAGCACAAGCATCAAGCCAAGGGCTGGCTGGTCCCCAAAATGTTGGTACTGAAAAATCAAAAACCTGGCGAAAAGGCTTGCAATTCCTACTCATTCCTGATGCATAATCTGGGGGAAGTAAGAACAACCTGGATGTTGCAACTGGAATCCTGAAACCAGATTTTATGAAGTACGTTTGGACAATGTATGCCTAAAAAATACAGCTGTGTTTGATGTCAAATGTGGAAAAAGCCTCCCAGTGGTCTAAAGGAATGTAGTAATTAACATCAGCACTGAGCTCCGAGCAATTATGAACTTGTTCCCCTGCAACTTCTCACTCCTGAAGATCCCAGAGGGTTAGAGATGTGAGAATGGTGGGGAAAAAAGTTGATTTAAGGATTCATCACTGCCAAGTGGAGCAGGAGCAGTAACCCTACTCTCTCTCTGGCCACGGCAGCACTGGTTGGGTCTCAGCACAACTGGAGCCTCCCTTCCCTCTCTCCTACTGCTTAATGCTCCAGAAGAACCTCTGGAAGTGGAAGCACAGCCATGAAGGGACTGTATGGGTGAGAGTTCCCAGCCCCTCACAGCCAAGGGAAGTGCTCCCTGTGGAACATCCCAGTTCTGTGTTGAGGCTCTGCTGCCTCACAGCCCAGCACTGCTGGCCAGGGGCATCTCCTGTCTTGTTACTCCCACCCCTTGGCATCTGCACCTCCAGCTACAGCTACAGGCTTTGCCTGAGAACAAATCACACACCAGGTGATGTAACTGGAAGCTTTTCAGTCCCTGAGAGGGTCACTGCTTTTAGCCCAAATCCTGTCCTTTTCCATGTTCCTAACTCATCTGGTACTGGCATATCCATGTCTTCCCACAGACATAGTCACAGCGCTCTGCCCTGGCACACTGGTTGTGAAACAGCACTCAGGTTTGGGTGGGAATGGGGTTTTTTTTGCACTTTTCTGTGCAACGTGACCCCAGCAAGCACAAACCCGCTCCCATGCTTAACTCCAGCACAGGGAACGCAGGGGCTGAGGGGGGAGCTGGGGGTCTGAGCCTCTTCCCACCTTCTCTTTCTCCTTCTGGATCAGTGTTTGCATCTCCTTTTTCCAGCCCAGCAGCTCCACCAGCTTCTCGACGCCACCGACCACGTCCCCGAGCTGGGCCACGTCGTTGTGGCGCTGCTGCCACGCGAAGGGGCCCACGAGCTCCCGGTTGATGAGCACCCGCGGCACGGAGCTGCGCACGGCTCCGGCCAGGCTGGCAAAGGGCTCCACCTGCGGGGGGAACCCAGGGGGCACGGGGACAGTCACCCTGCAGGGGCACCAGTGCCCAGCACTCTCGGCTTGGAACCGCTCAGCCACCCCTGCTCTGAACTGGTCATAGTGCCACCAGTCACCCAGTGGCCTTTCCTCAGCTCTCCAGGTGCCCACCGGGTTTCCAGAGGGTCTCTCAGAGCACCGCCACCCTATTTCTTACCCTCCACCTCAAATGTTGCCTCCCTAACCCATTTTCTTGCCTTCTCTAAACCCTCTCTCCCCTCTGGAGTCCTGTCAGGCCCTGTTTTCCATGTGAGTTTTTCCCAGGGGTTTCCCTTATTCCCAGACCTCCAGGGATGTCCCGATGACGAAGAGCAGGTCTGCCATGGGGAAGTCTGTGAGGTGCAGGAGGAAGCGCTGTGGGAGCTGCTCGCCGAAGAACACGATGTCAGGCTTGACAACTCCAGTGCAGACAGGGCAACGAGGGATCCTGTCCCCCATGACATCTCCCTGAAGGGAGAGACCCCAAAACTGCCTGTCACAGGGACCCTGTCCCCCTGAAAGGAGAGGCCCCAAAACTGCCTGTCACAGGGGTTCAGAATCACCACATGTCTTCAGAGCAATGCCCAACTCCAACCTGGTCCCCTCCATAAACCTCTTGTCCCCAAGGGCAAAAGAGCAGGTTTGGACCTGTCATTGCTGTAATAATTAATGCCTCCTTGTGTTAATTGTGTTGATGCCTGGCTGGGCCCACTCACCCTGAAGTCCTCTCCGGGGAAGTTTCTCTGACACACCGTACAGGTGGCAGTGGCAAAGGTGCCATGGGCTTCCACCAGCCTGTCAGGAGGGATCCCAGCCACTGGAACACAATGTGTGGGAAAGGACTGAGCCAATGCCTCCCTGTGTGCATCTCCCCAGTCCTGCTTCTCCCCTCAACTCCTGCTGCTGCTGCTGGAGATGGGAAGAGGGAGCTCACCTCTCTCCAGCCCGTCGATGTTCTGGGTGTACGGGCGCAGGAGCAGCCCCTTGTCGTGCAGCAGCCGGAGGAAGTAGTGGGCGGAATTGGGGCGGTAGTTGCCGGGATAGAGCTCCTTGGCCAGGGTGAAGAAGGGCTTGGGGTTGACGAAGAAATACCCGAGCTCAAAGATGGCCTCGGGGTAGGGGATGTCGTACTGCTCCAGGTTGCTGTACAGGCCGCTCCCGGGGGACCTGCGGGGACAGGGGGCAGCTGAGAGAGGCTGCAGTGGGACCTGGGCTGGAGACAGAATCCCAGGATCAATGAGGTTGGAAGAGACCTCCAAGACCATCAACCTGTCCAACCTGTGATGCATCATCACCTTGTCAACAAGAGCACTGAGTGCCACGTCCGGTCATTCCTCGGACACCTCCAGGGATGGTGACTCCAGCACCTCCCTGGGCAGCCCCATCCAATGTTTAATCACCCTTTCCATGGACAAAACCTCAGCTCTCCAAGGACACACAGGATGGAGGCATCACCTGAAGTCCGGGATGCCGCTGGGTGTGCTGATCCCGGCGCCGGCCATCACCACCACGCGCTGACATTCCTTCTTCCGGAGCAGCTCGGCCACATCCTTCAAGGTGAGCTTCTGCTTCCCCTCATCACCTCCCCACCAGCCCAAAATGGCTCTGGCAGCTGTGCTCAGACAGAAGGGCCTGGAGCCTTGGATCCTGCTCGGCACAGGGGGAAGCACAGCACTGAGAGAAAAATCACCCAAAAATTCCACAGAAACCTCTTCTTTGGGCAGGATTGTGCTTGGGCTTCACTAGGAGAA